CTTTCTGCCACCAAGTGCAGCACTATCAGCTACTCCCTCTAGCTGTCATTCTTTGACAGTAGATGGTCTTCAGAATTTGCCTCTCAGTCCTCTCTGCTTTTCTTTCTACAGTCTATTTTTACTCATCTAATCTTATTCTTCCACTGTCACCTCTTAATAGGAGACAACCAAGTCTAAATCTCTAATTTATATTTCTCTCCCAGACCCAGTCCTATATCTGAATCTGTACTAAAATTTTCATCTGAGATGATGTCTTAGCATCACCTCAAACTCACACTACCATACTTCAAGATTGCAAGATTTTATTGTGTGGATACACTCTCTATTGGTGCAGAATACATGCTTATTCAATTTTTAGTCAGCATGGGTTTCTATGGTTTTAAAAAAATATTTATCTGTTGACTAGACAGCTCTGCAAATATTCCTCCTCTGAGTTTAAGTAGGGGGATTTCTCAGATGACAAACATAAAGGCCATCACTGGGTCCCCCTTACTCACTTAAAATCTTTTGAAATAAAGTTCTAAACTATATGTATGTGTTGTAGACTCCTTTGGCACTCTGCTGAAGCTTATGGATTTCTTAGAATAATATTTTAAATGCACAAAATAATATAATAGGGTTACAAAGGAAAGCAATTATACTGAAACAGTTATCAAGTATACTACAACGCATATATGTATGCATATGTAAATACATATGTTAACATGTGAATGTACATGTATGCATGTGTGTATATAACATACACACAAATATATAATTCATATATATGAATATATATATATATAAATATATATATATATATGAAACTCGTAGATGCTAGGTTAAGAACTTTTAGAGTATGTACTACTCAACATTTAATACAATGGCTATCACATAGCAAGATCTTGATAAGTGCTTGTTGATTGATAGCTTTTTAGCCTTTAAGAGCTCACGGTCATACTAAAGGGTTTGTGGTGTAGTGGAAAGAGTAATTGACCTATATTCAAATCTTAGTTCTGTTACTTGTTTCATAATCTCTCCGAGCCTGGGAATTGAGGTCCTCATCTGTAAGATGAGTGGGTTGGGGTAGATGACCATGTGATCCCCTTGCTCAAAAACCTCTATCCCCTCTTCCCGTCCCCATGGCACAGCTTACAAATTTATGAGTATGAGTTTTGAGTCTCCCAATTATGAACTATCTAGGTAGTGATCTCTCAGTTTTAATTTTGGCATAGTTCTGCAAAACATCTAGGATTTGGGACAAAACCCTCTCAAAGTCCTTTCTATCCATTGGGGTTTTGTGCTTATCCTGAAGGAGATGATAAATTCAGATTTCTACAAATTTTTATATCATCTATAAGTGTAAGATTTTTGCAGTTATTATTAACAAACACTGTTGAGCAACCACTATGTGCAAAGCACTCAGTATACAGTGCAAAGAACTATGACAGTGTCCGTGCCTTTAAAGTATAGTCCTGTAAGAGTAGAGATCACTATACATCACTGGGTGAACAGTCTCCTACTGGACTAGTAGCTCTACTGCAAAATATCATGGCTGATGGGAGTGGGGAAGAAGCAGGAATCTCCTCTCCCTCCAGAACTGAAGTCATTCCCTCTCAAAGTCTAGGTTTTCCCTTGACCATTGGCTCTTGGCTGGATTGTAGAGTTAGCAAGGTAGGTTTTTTTTTTTAAAGGTCACCAGGGTTGTGACCAGTGGCAGTTGTTCCTTCCAGTTCAATCAAGAAACATTTTCCCAGTTAGTAAAGGAATACAGGACATAGATGAATCTTTACACTTAATATCTCTATGTCTGCAGTTTGTTTTCTGTTATTACATCCTGAGCTAGGGTGAACCTAAATCCTCCCTCTTCTACTACATGTAAATGGCCATCTTGCCATTGCTTCTACCAAATAATATATATTTGAGCGGTAAAAAGCATTTCTATGCATCCTGCTCCCTGAAAACATATTCTATTCCAAAGTCAAACCTTGTGCATCCTTATCACCTTCATTAGTCAAAATTGGGTCTTTACTCTGTAGTCATCATGCTGGGGTAGAGAGGCTGCTCTAAAATGAGTAACATTTTCAACATTTAACATTTGGTCCCACTCCCCAGGGAACTTTACGCCTCATATTCTCTTTATTCCCACCCCCTACCCCACCCCCCTGCCTAAAAAAAATCTAGCAAGGAGACCAAACTATTGGTAAAAAGCAATTATTTTAACAATTTGTCTGGTGAGAAATGTAGTCAAGGAGTCATTCTAAGTAGAATATTTTTACGTTTACAAACTGTTGTGTGACATAAGATTCCCTTTGTAAAAAGTATACAGAGCTAGCTTTATTCTTTGTTTCCTCTTTGTCTTGGAGTGGAAACTTGATCTGTTTGGGCTTTTGATTACATTATAATTACTCTTGGGAGAATTGTCTTTATACTTTGGTCTTCAATTGGCTAGTCCTATTTTCATATTGTATGTTTTGCCTTCGCTTACTCTTGCCAAGAGGTAAAGATGACCCTATGAATGATGGTGTGTTACCATTTGATTTAGAAGTAGATATAGAATTCAATTCAGATACCATTAAATGCTAGATCCTGGAGATTTAAAAAATGGAATAAGATATGTTTTCTACCTTCAAGGTGTTTACCATTGTGTAAGGGAGAAGATATGTACACACCTGATTCTAATACACATTAAAAGATGATGAGTGTATGAGAGAGGTCCAAAAAAGAGTGCTATCAAAAAGCAAAGATGAAGGACATGCTTCATGAAGATGACATCTGAGGTGGATTTTGAGGATTGAAACAAGGCAAGGAGTGATTGCAGCAAGGCAAAGAATGGGGTGAAGGGTGGGAATCTCTCCAGGACATCAGAGACTAGACTATATGAGCATGACAAAGATGAAGAACACTAGAGTATGTTAACTGGAGTAACATCAGTTTAGACTGGAAAGGTTGGTTGAATTCCTATTGTGTAAAGCCTGGAACATCAGGCAAAAGAACTTGAAACCAGAGGTAACAGGTTTTCCACATTTGTTTATTTGTGTCGAACCCCTATCTATTAAAATTTAAGGAATTATAGATAAACAGTGTTAGTTTTAAGTCAGGATTAACTAATTTCTAAAAAATCTCTAAGCCTAATAATTTGAAAAGAAGGTAATTGCTTATAAACTTTTTGCAAGTATAGTAAAGTATTATTTTTTTTTTAGTATTATATGAATTCACAATTTATGATTGCTTGGGGTTCGATAAACAATTTATCAATGTAGAGAAGATTCCAAAGAGCATTTGAAAATGTTCAAAAGTAATTTGTTCTCTCAAGTATGTAAATTTGAATGTTTTTGGTTGTATTCAGTGTCATTTCATAAGAAAACAGGCCACTACAACTTGCACTGGTCCTTCTGATTAATTAACTCAGATCAGGACATGTCAGAACAGGCTTTGTTAATCTGCTTCATATTTCAGTACATATAGGTAAGCTCACTAATACTGGGCAATAATAAAAGGGAGTTACTTCCATGGGAACAATTGCCCAAGTGTTGTCAGTCACAGCAGATTTCTAAAATAGACATTAGGTGGAATTTGGTACTATGATTTTAAAGTGGTAACATCGTTGAGACAAAGTTATAGTAATGAATAATGAAAAAAAACAGGTATTATATATTTACTACTTGCAAAGCACTGTTTTAAGCATTGGAGATAGAATAGAAAAGGTCTCTGCTTTCAATGAAGGAGCTCACATTCTAATACTGAACCAATAATGTATGTGGAAGGTTCAGTGGTACGTAGGGTGTAAAGCAGAAGGAATGCTTCTTCTTTAATGTCATCGCCACTGATAAAATTATATCCATTTCTGATGTTGAAGCATTTGAGAATGCCGGAGAGTTTTGTGGCAAGAACTTTTTGTTTTTCTGGGAGTGTTGATATACTTAAAATTAATGAAAGACATCTTTTAAAATATTTTGCTACTCTTTCTTTTTGCTAACCTAAATTGACCTTTTTGGAATTTACATGATTAGTCTGTGAAACATAGTTTTATTGGGATTACATGATTTTCCTGCAATTGCTGTTTATGTCAGTAGTGACATAATAAAGGATTGAACACATTTTCCTATCTTTAAAATACTGCAAATGTTTTCAGTCTTAATTAACCACCTAGGGACCCAGCAGTTTTGGTTTTAGGCACTGCACAAAGAGATAGTATACTGGTGTATGTTTTATAGTTCATTTTCCTGAGCTGGGGAAAGTTATCAAGAGGGGAATAATCTTAAACCTTTATGGTGAAAAGTTTTACAATACTGATAATGCTTTCTCTGTGTTTTTTAAGTGTGGATTTTCACATGTGATATCCAAAATGCATTTTAGAGCTCCGTGCTTTTCTTTCACTAAGTTGGAGAAAGTTACGCCTTAAAATTATTGGCCTTTTTGTTTCCTCAGCTCTTGTGCTTGGTCAAATGTGTGCTATTAAATTTGACCTCCATCTAAATTGGTTTGTCTCTTAAAACTTTGTGTGGGTGACTCTCAGCTCATCACAACTTCATTAGGGTTGAAGCATTTTAAAAAGTATAGTGAATAGAAGTGGAATATTTCTTATTATTGAGTAATTGTATGGCATTAGTTTAGGCAATTTAGTTTAGGAGGGTTGTTGTTGCTTATATACACATTATAATATTCTTACATCTATCACAGTGTTTAGATGGGGAAATAGCACTGTTTCGTTGACTCTCTTGTTAGCCAAAACCTTGATAGTTGCCTCCTAGATAAAATATAGACATAATGTATGTGTTTTATGGAAAAAAATAAATAAAATGTTGTAACTTCTGAGCAGTTCAAAGGATTTGTGTTATTTCCACTTCACACTTAAACAACCTGTCTTAGGCAGAGGAAGGCATGCTTCTTTTTTTTTTTTTTTTAAGAAATTGAACAATAATTTTAGCTTCTTATCAGAAATATCAATTATAAATAACTAGTTCATAATCATAATTTGTGAATAAATTACTTTATGTTTTTTTCCTTTTTAAACCTAGATAATATATTTGGAGAAATCTCCAGAAGATACCTATAGGACACTGTTGGTTGGAAACATATCTTATGTTCCTTTCAGGTGAGTATGAGAAGTTTTGGAATCTTTATATATTTTATATATATTACATATATTTATATATATATACATATATTTATATATATATATGCATATATATAAAATATATTTATATGATATTTATGTAATTCTCATTTCTAGATATACCTCCTTTTCCATTTTCACCTTCCTTCTACTTGCATGCACTTTTCATTGTAAACAATTTAAAAATTAAAATGAAATCAGCTAGCCCAGCACCCACATCCAAAAGTATTTACAATATTTCACCACCATTTCCACCACTTTTCCAAGAAAAGAAAAATGTGTTACCTCATTTCTACTCCAATTCCAAGATTAATCATTAGCAAATTTGAGAACTTTTAGTTTAGCTATATCGAATTAGGCCTTTTCATGGACCTTGTGTGCTCACCTGTCATCCACAGCACACTGAAAATACTTGATGTTTGTTTTTAAGAAGGAGTTGGTAAATATGCACGGAGGCATGTATGTTCATGATATGTGTGCAAAAGAGCAACCAGTAACTGGAAAGAAGGCTTGTTGAAGCAACTGAGCTGTCATGCATACAGTGCTGATTGAGGACAAGTTATAGATTTAATTCTTATGTTTTTCTATTATTTTTTCCATGTACAATGACCTTTGCTGGCAAAAATTGTCCTGTGCACATGGGCAGGTAATCACCAATTTATGTATACCATGTAAAGAAGAAGCAAGGGAAGGAATTGGGTAGGATACATTGCTAAATTATTGGCTGCTACTGAAAAAACTATTGAATCATACATTCTATAGTTGGTATATGAGTAATGTCTTCTTTGTGTATAAATAAAATTAGCTTAAGTTCAGAGAATTCGTTATAAAACTGAGCAGAAACATTTAGTAGGCTACTTTCTACTAGTGCCATATGTTACTATGGTAAACAACTTGTCTAGCTTTGTAGAAAGTTAATTTTCAAAAACTTTATCCCTTTTAATGTGTTCACTGGTGTACTCAAACCTTATTTTGAACAAATGCTGATTAATATCTTAGCTATTTGGTAAGGTAGTTGTACAAAATAATTACTTCATCTAGATGCAAAATAGAGAAATTTTGAAAATTAGGCATCTGCTTTTGGATGTATCCATCCTGTATATATTGATATTAGCATAGTTTCTTAAGTCATTCTCCACTGCCTCATTGAGGCATAGAGATGATATCATGTTGGATTCTTGAAGGCTATTCCGTGAAGCATCTGCTCTAGAACCGAAGTTCTTAAACTGAAGTATGAAGAGTCCATGTATAGATTTCAGAATATCCAGAACTTGAATAGGAAATAAAAATACATTTTCATTTTCACTAACCTCTGACTGACAGTTAGCATATCTTTCTATTACAAATGTAGGCAACCAACATTTTTCAGAGTTTGGGTCCACAGACTTCTTCAAACTGCCCAAAGGGTCCATGATGCAGAAAAACGTTAAGAACTCCTGCTTTAGAAGGTTCTATCTAGCTGGAAAGGCTTTGAATAGGGGTCCTGCAACAGATTATATGTCTGCCCCATCACCTAAAGAACCAGAGTCACTAACCTTAGAATGACTGATAACTAAGTTAAACATAGTTTGGTGAAGTTGGAGCCATTATAAGGAAATCTATCCTTTTGGAGTGGAGTTTTATAACATTTCTATACATGAAATTCTTGATCTGCAAGAATTTGAGATGAAATAGCCCACAATACCTACCTGGCATGTATTTTGAATTATTAAGTCAGCAGAAATGAGTTAAACTCAATAGGAAAAAAGAAGGAAAACATCATGGATTGCGAAGTCTGAGTTGGGAAGGGACGAGAGGAGAGTTGAGACCTAATGGATGAATTGTTTGTACAGAGATTAACTCTCTTCCTCAAAGAACGTATAGGCTGATGGATGATGTCATTTAGGAGGGAGGCTGTTGCCCAAACAAGAACCAGAAAAGCGTTATATTATTCATCAGTGAGAACTTGCAATCCAATAAGATTACTGTTGCTGTTGTTTTACATTGCTCTTCTTTACAATGATTTTTGTGTTAATGGGTTTCACTAGGAACATCTGTGGATCCTGAAAAATGAACACATGCATGATTTGCTTAAATCCTGTGAAGTGCAGTTGAACGTGGGGAAAAGATTTAGGACTGACAATAAGAATAGCTAATAGAAACCAAGTGAAAGAAGAATTTCACACAGAGTTAGAAAATCATGTCTTTCCCCTAACAGTGTGTCCCAGCAGAACTGAGTATTCAGGCATTATGCTCAAGAAAAAAACTATTTAGAAAAATTCAGTTTTGCTGGGTAATTTGAATCTCTCTTGTCACAGCCACCAGGAAAGTAGTTTCTCTAAAATGAAATATAATAAAATTTCATTAGTTTGAAATAATTGGAAGGAGGGTCAATCTGAATGAATGAAATCTAAATGGAAAACTATTATAAAAGAAATTACATTATTACTTCTTTTAAGTACCTCTCCTAAATCTAGCACACTTTTTGAAATAAGAGGTCCTGATAGGTCTTTGAAGAATGGACTTGTTATTTGCAGATAAGAGCTTCCATTTATATATGCTTTTATACTACCGTTCCCACCTCTACTCCCATTAGACGATGGAATTTTCCACTAAAGTGAATTTTTCCAATACCTTAATTTGGCCCACTTATAAAGAATCATTTTTAAAAACCATTGTTGATAGAAAATAGTTTCCTGCATTGATAAATAGCAAAGCATACAGAATATAATTTAACCTTTTCTTGATATTTAACAGTGACCCTGAAATGAGTTAGATGATCTCCAAATTCCTTTCCAGTTCTAATATTCTATAATTCTTTTTTTTTCAAACTGACCCTATGATTTAGATTATTACATCTATAGAAAATATGAAGATAAACTTTGGTTCAGCAAAGGCCAAATTATCACATTCTAAACTAATTAAATGCAAATGAAGGAGACTTCATTTTATTTTCATTTAAGAATTTCTTAGTGGAGGTAACTATGATAGCATTGTTTAGGATTACATTATAATTTGAAAAATAAGTCTAGAGAACTTTTGTGCTTAAATGACATGCAAAAATTATTAATAACCTCCATGGACAGTTCAGACCTAAAGGTAATATTACCAGTGTGCCTTATACTTGACCTTGGGGAATCCTTGAGTAGGCTAAGAGGATGTTAATAGTTAATTAAGGAAAGAGAGGTAAATGTTGGGATGATAATAACATCAAGGTTAAGGGCTCTGAACTTAGGTTGGTCAACCATTCTCACTAGTAGAATGCTCCTTGACCTAATCCTTGACAATTGCCATATTTAACCCTATCATCCTAAACTCCACTTCAGGTGTTGCTAACCTGCATTCCATGAATTTGTTTATTTTTCATAATATTTTGTAAATGTATTTCAATATAATTGGTTACTCTCGTGATCTTATGATTTTTATTTTATTCATTTTAAAACATTCTGATAAGGAATCCAAAGGCTTCACCAAACCACCACAGAGTCCACAGCACATGAAAAAAATAAAAGAATCACTGATTTAAGGAGTATGTTTGTATGTTTTCTCATCATTCAAATTTCAAAATATATCTCAATTAATAAAGTAAGGTCATATCCCCCATCAGTTTATCAAATATTATTTATCTAGTAATCTAGAGAAACATCCTTTCCTAATAGTGGTTATTTAGTTTTATATAAAGGTTTTATTAAAATCTTTAATTTTCTGACATTAAATATATTGAAATCATAAAATATACAACTTATTGACAAGGAAATTAATAGTAAAACAAAGGCATAGATAATTTGAAGCATTTTTATCTGTGAGAAAACTCATAGCTGAGGTCACCTCATACCCTCTGTTTAATGGCAGCTGACTTCCTTTCTCAAAACACAGTCCCACACCATTCAGTTTATCTCTAAACTCACTTATGAATTAAAATTCTCTTTATAATGTTTCCTTATAAAATAAACTTTTAAGAGTTCTCACAAGAAAGAAATTTCCCCTTTTGTCAGTCTGTATTCTCCATAGTTTACCTCCTAGAGAAAAAAGTTAAAATATACAATTTCTCTCTGAATCCATAGAGAGAAGCACTTCGTAGAATGATGATTATAATTGTAGGTCCTGACTTCTATACTGTTAGACATTATGAGTTTCTATAGCTTCTGTAGGAAAGGCTTTGAAACAGTTATTACAGAGTTTACATAGCACTCTACTTTAAATTTAATCTGCAAGCCTGGTTTTATTAAAGGAAATAATAGTAGATTCTTTTTGAGGTCACTTTTTTGGGGGTGGTGGTGGGGTGGTGGTAAAGAGAAATAATCATTTTTTTTTTAGAATTATATATTTTTTATTTTTTTTAAATTAATTTGCCTTTAGTTTTCAACATTCACTTCCACAAGATTTTGAGTTCCAAGTATTCTCCCCATCTCTCCCCTCCCCACACCCCAAGACGACATGAATTCTGAATACCCCTTCCCCCAATCTGCCCTCCCTTCTATCATCCCCCACCCCCTTTCTCTTATCCTCTTCCACTTCTATTTTCCTGTAGGGCAGGATTGATTTCTGTATCCCATTGCCTAAACAATTTTTAACATTCGTTTTTAAAACTTTGAGTTCCAAATTCTCTCCCTTCCTCCCTCCCCATCCACCCTCATTGAGAAGGCAAGCTGTACGACATAGGTTATATATGTGTAGTCATGAAAAACACTTGAGAGGAATGATCTTTAAAGAATTACAAATAGAATCCTCATATAATTCGTGGAGGAGAATCCTCAAAATCAGAAAAACCAACATTCACCCAAATCTGGTGACTTGGAGTGATGACAATAACTATCTAATCTCCTTTCTTCTTAAGTTTCATAATACCTGACTTTCTCCATGCATTTTCTTTTTAAAGGAGAGATAGATATATGCAAGTCAGTCTAATCAAATCAAACAGCAATAGCCAAAACAACTTGACAATTGTCCTTTTCATTGTTTGTTTAATGGTATTAAATCACAGTATCTAAACAACCTTGAAAATCTTCCGCCCTAAGGCTAGGAGCAAGAATAAAAATTTAATTTGTTACAATGTTTAGTTTTTCAAGTAAGAAATATATAACTCAAATCCACTGCAAATTTGTGTCTTTTTGTGTGCAGGATTGATAGCACCATGAATAATCCTGTTCTGTAGGGCATACAAAGTGAATTAGATTTAAATAAAAGTTAACAGCACCATTTTAAGCTAATTAGAATTTTTCATAATTTAGTGCCTTTAAATTGGCAGAAATGCTGTATTATATGTGTCTTCCATGTAGAATCTTCTGAATGATGAGAGAAAATAACTGCTTCTTAGTCTATGTTCTGATTAAATTTTAAATGGGCCTACTATCATGAAATGAGTATTGTACTTCAACTTGAACTTAAAATACAGTTTGTAAACAGCTTACTCCCCCATACAACATTAACCTTATTTTCATGAATAATTCTGAGTTCTGAAAAAGACATGTAATGATTTATATATTTGGTTTTAAAATATTTCTCTTTTAAATTATAATAGTAATTTGGCATCTGTAAAGTTAAAGAGAAAAAACATTTATCTGTAGTACAAATCATATGCCAATAGTGATTGTCGTCTTTTCATTGAATAAAAAGAAAAGGAATCTTTTTTTCTAGAAACAAGTTTTAGGATCTAAACACGTAGTACTGTGGAGCTTAAGGGTGCCCAGGCAGTAACATGATATTACTTGGATCATCCAACAGTGTCTTAAAAAAAAAATCCCTCCCTCCCATCCTCATATTATAGTTTGCTGTCAATATTTTTCACACACACTCTCACACACACACACAATATAGAGGTCTTAATTGCTTTTGAGATGAAATGTAGTTGATATAAAAATTAAAGAAGGCCCATTTTAAAAAATCTAGTAATTATAAAGATAAAAGTGATCCACAGTAATTATTTGGAGATAAGACAAAAGAACTTGAGAGCTCAGTAGTTAGAATTAATTTAAATACTGTACTTAATTAATCAAATAGGATTATATTTTTGGATGTTAAATGAATAATAATTGATTTAAATTGGTGTTTTTTTTTGCTAAAAACCCTTTTTATGAGCTGTTGTTTGATTCAGCTTTCTTTAGATGGAACTATAAAAAAGTAGTTTTATTTATGAAAACTGAAATACTGATTCAAATATTTGTGGAATTGCAGGGATGCTTCCTATGGTAATTGCACTTTCTACTTAACACTACTCGACTGTTTTCAGGCAGTACATAAGGTAAGTGAATTAAATGATGCTATTTGCAGGGCTGTATTGAAATGTTAAAGATTCAAGACAGATAAATCTAGTCCATCATTTTCAGGGGCTCATTAATTAGTGTTTCTTTTGAGAGGTTTCTATGATTTCACACATTATAATTTCTGAGGAATATGATGTTAGCATATGGTAGTTGAAATGGGGGTGGGGGGATGAATTTAGGGGTAAGAGTTTCATTTTAATATTAAGCTTAGTGCTACTTAAATGTTAGTAGATGTCTTTATTTTTTAAAGTAAGTTTTACTGATGCCTTTTGTTTTTATTTCACAGTTATTTCAGGATACTCTCAATTTAAAAAGATTCCATAATGGAACCATTTGTTCTAAATACCTCTTGTCATATCTAACTCTGCAGGACTTATTTGTAATGTACAAACCACTAGTCTTACATACAGAAAGAACACAAGAATTATATGTGCCAATTAGCTCCATTGTCCACCCAATTTGTCAGCTGTCTGTTTTGGTCCCTGAGAGATCAAGGGGTGCATGGGATAATTCTATGAAAACTTGGCCCAGTGTAGAGCTGCAGATTTGATCCAAGTAGCAATAGTGGTTAGGGGTATGGCAGTTTTATACTCACGATGATGATATAGGGAGCTGGAATATTTTTCAGGTGATAAAATTTCAGGTGTTATAGATAGCTTGATAAAGGCCTTTTGTTTTACATGAGAAAAAAATTGATAATTTGTAATTACTTCCATATCAGTGTAAAACTTTATTGTTAAATGAGACACCATTAGAAGACAAACTGTTAAATTGCTTAACTTTTCTCATCTTTCTCTTATAAAAATACCATTACGTGGAAAAATCTCTAACAAAATTTTTTTCAACTGTTTTTAAGTTATTCCCTTTGACCTATAGATCTCACTACTGAGTTTATATCCTAAAGAAGTTAATGACAATAAGAATAGATTCATTTGATTAAAAATATTAATATTAGCACAATTAGAATAAAAAGCTGGAAATAATATATATAGTCAACAGTTATGAAATGGCTGAATAAACTGGTGTGTGGATGCATTGGAACATTAAAGAATGATAAATTTGAGGAATTAAGATACAGAAAGACATAAACTGATGTAAAGTAGGAAGAACATTATGTTCAATTACTACAATAGTGTAAGAAAGGCAACTAAATTAGTCCGTTTCAGAAGTTCGGAAATAGAAATGTAGCCACAGACTCCTTAAATCCTTCAGGATTTAGGCAGAGATGTAAACTACCAGTACTCTGTAGAAAAGGGTGCAAAGACTGGATGTGCCAGTTGCCTCCACTGGCCACTGAGTTCCTCGTCTGTCTGTTATAGTCCCTGAGAGGCAAAGCAGCACATGAATAGTTTCAGGAAAACCTGTTCATAGAAACTTCCTTTTAGACTTGAGTGGCTACAGGAGTCAGGAGAAGTAAGTACTGTGTTATACTCAGGAAAGTATAGAGAACCAGGGGCTTTTTTCAAATGTAACTGTGGACCCCAGGCACTTTTTGATTGGACCAACATTAAATATACTTCAAAAGGGGTTAGTGAAGTTCCTTTGTTTCTGTCTACCTTATCCCCTCATACATCTCAAGTAAAATAGGATAGATACTGTTGGTACCACATTGTCAAAGTTAAAGAACTTTCTTTTCTTCCTTCCTTTTAAAAATAAGTAAACAAATAACAAGTGATTCTTATTTCCTTTTAAAAATAAGTAAACAAATAACAAGTGATTCTTATTATGAATTGCAATCATTCTGTTAGGTGGTTTTAACTTTTTAGGGAATGTACTTAATGGGAAAGTTTGTCCAGGTGTTTGGGAAATGTGTGTTCTAGCAATAACAAATGTATCAAAATGTGTGTGTGTGCACGCGCTCGTGTATGTACATACTTGTGTATACGTGTGTACACACTCAAGCCCCCAACTTAAAATCAAAGTCTGTTCTTTTCAAACACTATCCCATATAATGAAATTCTGGTACAGCAGAAGAATTTGGTTAGTCAATTAAGCTATTTTAATAGGACTCAGTTCTTTTTAAATTCCTACTGATTTTGGCATGTATGTTGTCTGCTTGTTGAACTTAAAGGGCCATCAGGGTATAAGAAATTCTTATTAAGATAAGTTATGTTAGTACTGCACAACATCTTAATAATTGGAATGGTATATGGCTTATTTGTTCCTGTAATGAAAAACAGCAACTTAATAAAAATCTTAATGGAGATTTCTCACTATTCAGAGAGAAGAGTAATTAGGTTTTTTTTTTTCCCCTTTAAGAGAAGATAATCCTCATATAGAGATTTTTAAAGTTATAGAATTGTCAGATTCAGGAACTGGTTACTTCCATGTTACCTGAAGATCCAGATGGATGCATTATGCCAGCAGTCCTTCCTATACACTTAGGGAATATCTTGATCTGGCCTCAGCCTGAAGCAAAAGGCTGAGTTTAAAATAGCATTGGATGAAAGCCAGAGAATGTGTCTCCTCCTAATTGCAGCTGCAGACAGCAGAAAGAATTTACAATTCTTGGCACACCCTAACACACCAGAGGGATGTGCTGCTTCTTTAGGACAACCAAGCAAGCATATGTTGCAATCAAAGCTTACCTGTCTAAAAAGCAAATTTTGGTCAACTTTTCAGGGACACATCAATTCTCTATATTAAGGATTACTTATATTTAGTAAATTAATGAGAAGGAATTTGGCAAGGATATGGTCTCAGAATATGACCTTAGAGATACATTTACGGAATAGTAGAATTGGGCAGGGGAAAGTGGTTGGTTTTTCAACATATTAAGAAATATATATTTTTCAATATTTTGACTTTAAAAATTGACTTAGAATCAGGTATTGGTAACTGAATTTTTAAAATTGATTTCCTTGATACTCTTAGGTATTTTACTTTGTGTATTTAAAAATCACAATCCTGAGAAGGGGTCCATAGACATCACCATACTGCCAAAGGAGTCCATGACACCAAAAAGGTTAAGAACCCCTGCTTATACAGGTTGCACCTTTATAAATCCTATATGTTGATTAGAAATTCTTGTGTAAGTGCATTGAATACTAGTCTGTTAATTGGTTCAGCTAGCTTGTAAAAATTTAAGCACTGGCAGACTTTAACTCATCTTCTTTCTAGAAAATAAATACTATTTTTCTCATTTCACTATAGCAGTGTGTCTGGCTGTTATTCAAATAAAGGTTAGAGGACAGGATATTCACCTATATAAAGAATAGCATCTATTCCTATTTTTAATGTTAATGTTGATTTGTGGGATTTCTTTTCAGTACACAGAACATTTGGTTTCTTAATTCAAGAATTTCTAAAATAAAAGCATATATGAAATATATAGGGTTCTTCAGATGTTATTTTTTTCACAGTCTATAAATTTCATTCAAAGCAGTATTAAGGAGTGTTACTGAAGGTTAAATTTCCCAATCCTTTTTTTTTTTTTTTAACACATAAGGGTATTGTTAACCCACATGGTCTTGGATAGATTAGAATCACTCTGAAGTGGTGGCTAACTGGACTTACATTAATGGCACAAATTTTTAAAATAAAAATGTAGATCAAATAAAGTATAATAAAAACTGAGGCAATTAGGCATTGCTGTAGTACAATAAATTCTGAGGAAGTTTGAAAGGCAGGTTGGTGTAATGGATAAAGAGCTAGCCTTGAAGCCAGAAATAACAGAGTTAAGTCATAACTCTGACATGCTGGCTGTGCAACCCTTATTTAATCTCTCAGTTCTTCAGGCAGCTCTCTAAAAGCCTATACAGTTGCAGAGAAGATGCTAACCTGAATTGGTAGAGATAGCTTCCTCACCTGGGAATTTCTTATACTGATTAAATCACAGATCCACTCTGCATCCCTATAATAAATACATACTGTTAAGACTCCTCATGATGAAGGCATTTCAAGAAACTATAGCTCACTGATTTTGAGTTATGTTTAATACAATATAATTATGCAGCCATTGAGAATGCCTTTCAATTGCTGTAACAGGAATAGATCTGAAATTATTGCCTTTTAAAAAGCTTTTTTTTTTTTTAAATTTTAGGCAGTTCAGTACGGCTTCCTAAATTTTGAAAAATTTGACCTTGATGATTACGAGCATTATGAAGTAAGTCTACGTGGTTTTTCTAATCCGTTTCATATTTATCTGTGTGTTAATAGTCATACTGACTCCAAAAAGCTATTTGTTTCCATTGTTAACACATTTGTATTTATCTTGTTGAAAATTGGGAGAGGGGGAAGGGAGAAGTATAACATTTCCACATAACAATTATAAATGGCAATATCCATGATCTCGGGGGTACTCTTCTTTACAAAAATCCAATATATGGAAATCTAAACACATTAATTGGGAGTTGATTTTATTTCTATCACCCAAATATGATTCTTACTCAAAAATTAAATAGTATTCCTTTGAAGCTCATTGAGATAGTGCATTGAAATGCTTATATGCAGATTCAGAATTAAAGAGAGTTTAGCAATAATCAGACATAAAGCAGGCACTAACAGTTACCAGCATCACATTGAAGCCAATCAGAAATTGAGATAAAGCATATTTAAGGATTCTTGAATTGCTACCTGTGCTTTAACTCTAGAAGTCAAAATAACTCATGCAGTTATTTTGTACAATTATGCATTATAGTTATCTGTTATCTCTGTCTTATCCCCCTCTACAGTTGTGAGTCTCCTGAAGTCAAGAATATGCTTTATCTAATTGCTCCACCTATTCCCCCCCAAGCAGTATTCTGCCCATAACAGACATTTAGTAGAACTGAATTTCAAGGGACAGATAAGATGGAGCTTGTTTATACTCATTGATGACTGTGAAGAGTGGAATGAATCAACAAGCATTTATTAAGTATCTATTATGTGCCAGGCACTGTGCTAAGAAGGCTCAGTGACACACTGAGCCAATTTCAGAGCCAAGTCTTGGAGTTTTTGGTGATTTGGGGTGTGAGGGGCATGATGACATGAAGATGACTTCACTTGTCCTCAGAGCCAAATTAGAGTCAAGCTTCTGAAGTGACTTAGCCTGTTATCTTTTTTTTTGGTTAGGCAGTGGGAATTAAGTGACTTACCCAGGTCACACAGCTAGTGTCAAGTGTCTGAGGTCGGATTCGAACTCAGGTCCTCCTGACTGGAGCTCTGTGTACTGCGCCATCTAGCTGCCACCTCCTTTTAAAAAAATTTTTTTAGCCTGTTATCTTAAATGATAGCTGTCAAATTTATTGCAAAGTCAGTAAGTTCAACACCACAATAATTATTGTAGCACTTACTAAGATGAAAAACACTATGGAAATAAGAGTAATGCTTATTTTTTCCCTCTTCCCCATACTCTGTCCTACTTCCCTTCCTGAGACTAACTTCCAGACACCCAGGCTCATAACCTTAGAAATCTTTAACTCTTGTTCTCTTCCCATAATCAGTCTGTTGAAAAATCCAGTTGATTCTCTTTTCTGAATGTCCCAAGCATCTTCCTCCCACCTGCCCTTTGCAGTGCTACTGTTGCCACTACCAGGGTTCAAACCCTGAATCCTTTTTTTTTTTTTTTTGTAACCTCAGAACCGTTCTTCCTCCTCCCAATTAACCAACATCCTTTTCTGAGATGATTTTTCTTTTTTCTTTTTTTGTTGTCGGGTAATGGGGGTTAAGTGACTTACCAGGGGTCGCGCAACTATGAGATGATTTTTCTAAAGAACAGTTCTGATCACTCACTCAGAGCAGTAGCTCTGAAATTTGCTTTCTTGAAAAATGTCCCCAGCATTTCCTAGTTGGTTACTTGCCTCTATCTCAGTAAGATGAAATTGAGTGTGAATGCCCTTACAGGACCTCTCCAAGAATGTAACATAGTTGACTTTCTGGAAAATTAGTTGGAGAATCAAAAGTTTAAGTGGTTTTCTCACTCTTCAAAAAATAGTGATCTTCTTTCTTTTTTTTAAAGTTTTTTATTAATTTATTTTGATGTATCAGTAATCCCTTCCGTATGCTTTTGAGTTTAAAATTTTTCTCCCCCTTCCTCCCCACCACCCTCTTCAAGACACAGCACACAATCTGATATAGGCTATGCATTTACATTCCTATTAAACATATTTTCACATTAGTGATGTTGTAAGTAAAAATTAAAACCAATGGGAGGAACCATCAGAAAGAGGAAACAAAACTCAACAGAAGAGGAAAAAAAATAGCAATTCAACTTCCATAGTTCTTTCTTTGGATGTGAATAGCATTTTCCATCACGAGGCCTCTGGAGATGTCTTAGATCCTTGTATTGCTGGGAAGGGTTAAGTTTATCAATATTCGTCATCGCACAACCTGGCTGTTATTAGTGATCTTCTATCACTGCTAATATCAGTGTCCTTAGATTCATTGGAGTTATCATGAAGTTTGAGATTCTCTGCGTCACTGACACAATGAATCCCAGGTACCTTCTTGGCAGCTCATATCCACTTACTTCCTTTAAACTTATTCATGAGATGTGAAGAATATTCTTCGTGGCTTGAAGAATTTGTACTAAGGTGTTTTAGGAAAAGCTCAAAGCAGACCAGTTCTTCATCGTCATGGTAAGAAAGTGGCACTTTGGCAGTCTTGACACCCAAATCACAATTTTCTTTCATCTCTATCTTGTGAGGTGCAAACACACTGAACTAGGAATCTAAGGACTTCTGTTCAAATCCATCTTTGCCATCTGTGTAGCCTTGCATAAATTACTTAACTCCCAAGCCACAGTTTTCTCATCTCTAAAATAAGGAAGTTGAATTACATGATGCCCTTCCAGTTCTATAAGCTGTGGTCTTAATGATTAACTTAAACCTGAATTCCAAACCAAGCAAAAATTTCAAATTGCATTATAACAAAATTGAAGGTTGTGTATTTATACATAGTGGAACAACCTGATAAAATTCCTTATTATACTAAGGTACATTATTTCTGAATCACATCCTAATTAGTAGACCGAATCAGCAAGTTATTGTTGTGAAGGAGTGGAAATACTGAATTCAACAAATTTTTACTGAATATCTATTGTAATAAGGCACTGTGCTAAGTGCTGGGGAGAAGACAAAGATGAAAGCCTAGTCCTTCCCATTATGATTTCCATTGAAGAGCTTATGTTCTTCTTTGAAAAATCACTAACCTACTTGCTATTTTCTATATAAACATTGCATCTCCAGCTTCCTTGGCTTTACAGACACCATCCCCTCTGCCAATTCATCCTCCTTACTGCCATCTCGAGGAATTCCTACCTCCAGTTAAGGCTCAGATCTAATGCTGCCTCCTACAAACATCTCTTCTAATCCTCTCAGTTGTTAGTGTGCTTCCTTTCTCCTCTCTCAAATTACTTTGTACTAATTTACTTAACTGCAAAGATATTCTTCCCTCTCCCCCTAGGAGAATGTATGCCTTTTGAGGATAGCTGCTGTTTTAAATTTTGCCCCATTGCCCAGCAAAGTGCTTGGCACATAATAGTTGCTAATAAATGCTTGTTAAATTAAAAACATGTACTATAATTGAGTGACGTACGAGAAATTTAAGCAAAGTTCACTGAAAACATGGAGGAATGAGTGATAACTTCCTGATTTTTTCTTTTTTTTGAGGGAAGAGTGAAAGATATCAAGGAAGGTTTCCTGGAAGAGATAGCCTTTGAATTAACTACAGTTCTATTGATTGTAATGACCATTAGTAAAGGAGCCAAATGTATATAGCTAGAAGCAGAAGGTAAAGAAATCAGGGACCTGAATAACTGAGGCCCTACTACTTGAAATACTTCTAGAGATAAGTAGATAGAGAGCAAGTCTCAGAGTCAGAAAGACCTGAGTTCAAATCCTACCTCTGACACATAACTGGCTGAGAAGATGACAACCAGTATGAATAGACATTTTTTTTTCATTGGGGTAGGGGCTGTAGTAGTAAAACCTCAGGTCTAGTCACTGTCCCTACATACAGTTCCTTTTTAATTCCTTAAAAGACTTACTTAAACTAATCAAATTAAAGATTAATTATCCTTGTTCTTACTCAGGAAAGTTCTTTGAGTCAGTGGAATTTAAATAAGGAGAGAATAACAAAACAGTTTAGTCCTAGTAGCTAGAATTTATGTAGTGTTTTAAAGTTTTCAAAATGCTTTTCAAATATTATCTCATTTTATCCTCACAGCAACCCTGGCACAGTTAGGTGTTATTATCACCACCATTTTACAGATGAAGAAAATGAGGCTAAGGGAGGTAAAATGACTTGTCCAAGGTCATACAGCTAATATAAGGGGCTAAGGCTGGATTTGAATTTATGTCTTCCTGCTTCAGATCCAGTACTCTATTCATTGTGCCACCAAGTAAGTTTCTAAATGGTTCTTCTTAACAAAATGTGATTTCACATTTGTTGGCATCAATTCAATTAGTCTTCCAAGGATATGAGAGGTAAAGTGGAGTAGTGAATAAAGGGTCACCCTGAGAGTCAGAAAAACTTGGAATCAAGTCCCACTTCTGAGACATACTGGCTGTATGACTCTGTGCAAATCACTGAACCCCTTAGTGCCTGCCCTGCACAGCTCTCTCCGATTATAAATAGTGAGCAGGTATGGATGTGCTTTGGTAGAAGGGGAGTTTTCTCTCCAGGAATTACCTATACTAATGATCTCAAAGGTAAAAGTGTTCCAAAGACAGAATTTTCTTTGATTTAAAATGTTTCAAATAGATAATGTTTTGTGAGACGCTGGGCAAATCACTTCAAAGTTTCCTCAGTTGTAAAATGAGAGTTGAATTAGATGACCTTTAATTTCTCTTGCAACTGTAAATCTAAAATCCATTGACCAAACTAAAGAGGCCAGTTCCCATATCCAATAACTTTATCAAGAGAAAGCGATGCTCTCACGTGTTTGGATGAAATCAGTTGGTGAATTGGAAATATATTTGTTAGGCAGAATTTTAGTTTCTTGTTTCATGATCATCAACTAAGCAAAGTCATCCCAAGAACATTTAAGGATGAACAAAGGAGGACAAATAGAAAAAAATGGAAAAGATGTATAAATATTTTTTAATAACAATTTCTTTTCCCTTTCAAAAACAGCAGAACCTCCATACTGACTCTTAACACTATATTCCTAGATTTGCTTTTAGAGGAGGTAGAAATAACACAAAAGTGGACAAAGTCAGGGAAGTTTTCCAGATTCGATCATAGAGGAAATCTGTGCTGTAGGAAGCATGATTGTGGGGCATTGATGGATCTGTTCACATGGTATCTGAAAGGGGGAATATACCAATGGCATGAGGAAAAAAAAAACCTCATACCTTATTAATATTTTAAAAGACCAGCCAAAAGAATATCAGCAACAACCTACCTGTATGTACACTATATGTGTGCATGTATATGTGTATATGTATATATGTATATGTATATGAGTGTGTGTATACATAAATGTATATTTGTAAGAAAATAATCCGTACATCTTTTGAAGGCATCTTCAATGAGAGTATTAGTAAACAATATGCAGTCTTTCCCAAATCATTACAGTTTTGTCAACTCCATGTAGACAATATAAGATCTCACTACATTTATTGGTTTATAAACAGTATTTGCTTCTGTAGAGGAAAACATTACTTTGAAGCATATTTTCCAAGAAGTATCCCTGTATCAATTCATGTTAAAGTTCCTTGAAAGCTGTAATAACAGACACAGCTTTGTTCACCTCTCTAGTCATAAATATAAGGCTAGGAGATGGTAAGTAGCACAGTGGATAGAGCCTGGATCTGGAGTCAGGAGGACCTGAGTTCAAATCTAGCCTCAGACACTTTATAGCTATGCAACTCTGGACAAGTCACTTAACTTCTCTCTGCCTCAGTTTCCTGAATTGTAAAATGGGGATAATAATAGCATCTACCTTCCAGAGTTGTTATGAGGATCAGATGAGGTATTTGTAAAGTGCTTAGTACAGTGTCTGGCACATAGTAGGCATTTAATAAATGCTTGTTTCCTTCCTTTTTTCTTAACTCACCAAAAGTGCTTTCCACTGTCATGGAGGAAGCCCAGGTCAGTGTCCAAGTTGAAACATGATTCCTGTAGATCAGGGTTTCTTAACCTGGGATCTGTTAAGTTGGATTATTAATATTTTGATAGCCACATTTCAATGTAATTGGTTTTCTTTGTAATCCTATGTAATTTTATTTATGCATTTAAAAATAATGTTCTGAGAAGGGGTCCATAAACTTTACCAGATGGCCAAGAGGGGTCCATGGTATGCAAAAAAAGATTAAGAACCACTGCTATAGATTGTGAGGTCCTCCAGATTCTCCTCTTTGCAGATGGCTTCATCTTATTTCCGTCAAGTGGTGTACTGTATAGAGCACTGGATTTGGATTCAGGAAGGCCTGAGTTCAAATCCTACCTCAGATATTTAATAACTATCACTAGATAAGACATTTAACCTCTCTGGGTCTCAGTTCCCTCATCTGTAAAATGGTGATAATAATAATACCAACCCCACCATTGTCATGAGAATCAACTAAGAGAATATGTAAAGCACCCGAAAGCCTAAAAGTGATATATAAATACTTATTATTTATTAAACATCAATAGACATTCTAGAAAAAAATCTATGATCATGCAAAAGAGTTTGGTGTAACCATTCACACAAGAAAAACCAAGTGGATGAAACATGCCTATTGTTTAGATTACAACATACTGTTAAATGGATGAACTATAGAGTTCATCCGTGTGTGTGTGTGTGTGTGTGTGTGTGTGTGTGTGTGTGTGTGTGTGTGAGTCCCACAGTCTGGATGAATTGCCATCTGGTTGGAAAGAGCATCTAAGTTGATGAGATAACAGATCCATTTTAATATTTAAGCTATTTCACAGTCACTTAATGGCTTTTGTAAATGTTACAAGTAAGTTTATAGAAATGTAGAGGGAAGAAAAAGTGTTGAATAAAAGTGTGTATTCCTCTATTCACAGAAAGCAGAAAATGGAGATTTAAACTGGATAATACCGGGCCGATTTATTGCCTTCTGTGGCCCTCACCCAAGAAGCCGACTCGAAAGTGGTATGCCAGAAAGTGGACATAAATCTTCTTGAGAAGTTGAACGAGCAATGCTTTTCTGTATGCCCGTCCGTATGTGTGTTGTTCGAGGGAAATAGAAATCTGAACCAAGCCCTGAATTTAGTTACATAAGCTATGCTTTTGAAAATCAGTCATTTGAGTGTGACTTTCTTGTTTTATAATGATAACTCATTTTGTTTTTTATTCTGTTAAATCTTAAATCTAATGTAGTGCTAGACTTGGAGTCGGGAAAACCTGACATTAGATTCCACCTCAAAAGATTTACTAGCTGTATGACCCTGGGCGAGTCTCTTAACTTCTTTGGGCCGATTTTCTCATCTGTAAAAAGAGAAGGTTAGGCTTAATGACCTGTGAGTTCCCTTCCAGTAGGGCATGAGAGAAAGGGCAGGGTGGGGGGAGGGAGGAAGGGAGAGAGAAAGAGATCTTTTGTTATCTTGACTGGTTTCTACTATAAAAAAAGCATTCTAGAGGGCAGTCTCTTTTCATATAGAGCTAAAATATCTTTTAGTCTGTCTACATTGTTCGAAGAAAAATGTTTTCTTTTTATTCTCCATAGGTTACCATTATCATACACCTGAAGCCTATGTTCCATATTTTAAAAGGCACAATGTTACCACCATTATCAGACTCAACAAAAAAGCGTATGATGCCAGGAGATTTACAGAGGCTGGTTTTGACCATCATGAACTTTTTTTTGCTGATGGCAGCATACCTAGTGATGCCATAGTAAAAGAATTTCTGAACATCTGTGAAAATGCTGAGGGTGTTATAGCAGTTCATTGCAAAGGTGTGTTTATTTTGTTGACCAACGATGCATATCGGTGCTCTGAGTTCTTTCTGTACCTATATAAATATAGTAAGTAGTAGACTGCAAGTTCCTTGAGGATTTGGACTGGTTTCTCCCACATAGTTTATGGCTCCAGGTCTAGCTGATTAATACTTTGTATTTTTGGCACAGGTGTCCAGATCTATGATTTCATTGGCATAAGGAGCTTGATCTAACAAGTACAAATCAAATCTCTTTGAAAAAGCCAAACCCATCACTTCTGTCCTTGATCTCATTCCTCTCTTTTGCTATCCATTACCCCAGCTATCATCCACTCCATTCCTTCCTTCCTCCCCCTTTTCTCTCTCTCCTCCCCTCACCCTCCCCACCCCCACATCTTTGATCTTCTTCTGTCTTCATTCTCTCATGCCTCCAAATTTTAATTTTAATTTTTTCCTATTCTGACTTTGACAAACATCAACAAACATCAACATTCCCTACACAAAGTAAAAAACGAGAATTGTACAAGATCATATTTGGAAAATGTTTTTCAAACCTTAAAGCACTATATAAATGTTGTTATTCTGCAAATAGCTATTAAATATAAGGGATTTTAAAGAATATGTAATAAATTCAGCACATTAGTTCTAAAGTTTCTTGCTTATTGAAGTCTGACTCAGTTTCTCTTCCCTATATTTAGAAAATATGTCACTAATAATATTTTTTTCTTTTCTTATTTTTTGACATCTCTATAGCTAGGTCCCCTATTCCCCTACACCACCTTTCCAGATTTCCTACCTTATGACAAATAAGTCATTCAGAACAGGTATACACATTGGCCGTTCTCTGAAAATGTATGGGTATGGCTCCTGTAGTCTCTCACCTCTCTGTTAGGATGTGGGAAGCATGCTTCATCATTATTCTTCTTACTGAGTGTGAGGCTTTAGAAAACTGACTGGACAGAGTCATTATCTTCAACTTGTTTTGGGCTCTGGGGAAGGATAGCAAGGATAGTATGCTGGGTTATTGAAAGGGATTCAGGCACAAACCTGTGATTCACTTTGGATCCCTCTAGTGGGAACATGGAGGCCATTACAAAGTGAGTGCTTTGAGGATTAATGTTTTCTGGTGTTAATTCTTAATAATTTTAAGTTAACAGGTTTCTCTCTTATTTGACCTGTTGATTCAGCTGTAGTTCCATAGTTGTATGGCACCTAGTACCTTATTTCCTTAAGGTTTGGTGAGTTAAAGCATCTAAAGAACATGTAATCTTGCTGGTCATGTGACTAAGAAGTCCTAGTTATTGTTTTAAAGAGCAGAAAGCAAGGAATATTTCACATGAAAAATATCAGTGCATTATGTAAGTAACAGTAGTTATTAGAATAAGTAATAGAGCGTTAGTCTTAAAAAGCTGTTACCCGGACTTGACTAACCCATGATGAACTTTAGCCAAAAATTTGAAGCTCCACATTCTGTAAAAACAAATCCATCCACTATTTAAATTGTCCAACTTTTCCAGTAAGTTGAAAATGGCTATAAAACAGTGCCCCATAAATCCTAGGTGCCAGGTTGTCTTACACATGGCCAATTCATAATAAGATCTAGTATTTTCATTGTAATCTTACCCAAATATGTAGCAGTATGCTTTATACTTTCCATGCATACATATCTAAGATTTATCATAGCAACTGAAGAGTGGTAGTCCATAGCTTAACATTGGACCACTTCGTGTAGATAGTAATGGACATCTGGCTGAGGGAAGTTTTCAGAATCTGCAGCTGTCATTGTACCTGTTCAGCTCCTTGGACCCAATCCAAAAGAAAAGGAAAGGAGTAACTAATATTGTAAGTGAAAGGAGGAGCCAGATGGTTGTCTGACCTTTTTTTTTCTGCTTTTGGTATATATGTGGCTTAGGAAGTACCCTAGCCAGATATACTGTTATTTCTGTGAGACTTTCCAGACAGTGGATAGACCATCTAATAGATCATCAGTATCTTTAATTTGGATTTTGAACTGAGGATAGAAACTTCACCCTTTTCTCCTTGAAAGTTGAAAAAAAAACTGTTAGGCTCTTGATCCTAGGTGCAGAGACAGATAACTAAAGCATTTCATAAGCCTCCTACATACAGCAAATTTGTATGAGATTTCACCACTTTCACTTATTAATGTATCACTGAAACACAGTCCGCCATTGAATTCGCTGTTGTATAATACTTTATCCTTTTGAATGCTACACTAAGGTAGCTGCAATTTCTTACTAACAAACATGTCATCTTTTTAATTAATTAGCATAAGTAAAATTGATTAATTGACAAGGCAGATGAGTGACACACAGGGTAAAACAGACTCTGGAATTTGGAAAGCCTGGTGTCGAATCCTACCTTAGACATTTATTAATTGTGTGATCCTGGGCAAATCACAGAGCTTCTGTGTGCCTCAGTTTCCTCAACTGAAAAATGAGGATAAATAATAGCACCTACCTTACAGGATTGCTGTGAGGACAAAGTAATCATTTTAAAGCACTTTGCAAACTTCAAAGCAAATTTTTACAGAGTGCAAATCTATAGATACTAGCTATTAATTATTTAATGAAATGGAGAAATCTCTTTTCCCATTAGTAATTACTCTTAATACTAAACATAAAGATGTATTATTTATAATTATTTACAATGTTGTCACAGCCTGATTTACCACAAGCCATCAATATAACAAACAATAGTTGATTCCTCTTCATTATCCCCATTTTTTTTTTTTTAGTCTTAACACAGTTTAATGTAGTTCCATGAAAGAAAAAGTTTCTCTTCCTCTTTTTCCTATTTGTCTTCAATTTTTCTTCAGGAATGACAGTAAACAATCTTAGCTTCTCTTTGTAGAATTCCACTTATAACCTTTTCTTTGTAATATTATTTCCTAAAATAACACTAAAAGAGTTCTCCCAAGAAAGACATCCGTTCTCACCTTCTTTCTGTTGCATAGTTTTTATAGATTTTCATATATCACAAGTAAAACAATACCTTTGTCCTGCCACCATAGGAAAGGCACTTTACATGGATCTAATTTCTCAACTGACTCTATAATAAGAGATTTCTCAACTGTCAGTTTCTAAAGTGTCAGGACAAAACTGCTTTCCCCCCAGTGTTCTTTTTTGAGCACTTTTAAAGTTAGAGTAATGTTTTCTCTAGCTTCTATAGGAGATTCAGTTGAAACAAGGGTTATGAAAGCAAATCTATAATGGCTTTCTTGGAAAAAAAACAACCTCCTTTCAATGGAAAAGCCTATACTTGACTAATTTTTTTTTAAAACAAAAAATTGTATGAAGTTCATAAAACCATGTAGTGTGTTTCTTTTCTTAGCTGGCCTTGGACGGACAGGCACCCTTATAGCCTGCTATATCATAAAGCATTATAGGATGACGGTTCCTGAAACCATTGCCTGGATCAGAATCTGTAGACCTGGCTCTGTGATTGGACCTCAGCAACATTTTTTGGTGTCGTAAGTAAAAATTCATTAGTTTGTCTGTGTGGCATGGAGGTAACCCTTGGTTCTCAAAGCAAAGTGCAAGTCCTGGCAGATTCTAACAAGCAAAAAAATTTCTAGTGATTTTCTAGTGATGAACTGTAGGTCTGGGCTTTAAGACCAGCCTTGTTAAATTCAGGAGAGTCTTGTTGCCAGGTTGATGAACGTTTTGGTTATAGCAACAATCAGAGACCATATTGAAGGGATTGCCATTGGTGTCCACAAAGGGTGGGAGTACTCCCATTTATGGCACCACAGATCCTTGAAGGATTAACAAATACTAAGATTTGCATAGTGCTTACTGTGTGCCAGGTATTGTGCTAAGTGCTTTACAATTATTATCTCTTTTGATCCTCACAACAACCCTGAAAGATAGGTGTTATTATTATCTGCATATTACAGATGGGGAATCTGAGGCAAACGGGTTAAGTGAGTTGCCCAAGGTCACACAGCTACTAATTGTCTGAGACCAGATTTGAACTCAGGTCTTCCTGACTTCAGGTCTAGTGATTTATCTGCTGTTCCACCTAGCTGCCTCAGACTTGACTCCTTCAGAACCTATCTTACCTCTTTTATATTCCTGGGCATATGTATTTAATAGAACTACAAACTAAGAAGGTAGATAGACCAGGAGCTATTGCTGAATGGTCTTTTCGTCCTCCCAGGAAATTGATGGTAGGTATAATATTAGTTTTGGAAGGGTGAGAAGTAGTCGTCTAGGACTTCAAAGCATCAACAGAGAAGAGTGCCAGAGCATTGGCACATTTCTGGAAAAAGTCATGACATTCATTATTTCACTTCTTTAGAAAGCAGGCAAGCCTTTGGACAGAAGGAGACTATTACCGTAAGAAGTTAAGGGATCAGGAAAATGGAAGACATGCAGCTGCAGTCACAAAAATCCTAACAGGGGTCGATGACATTTCAATAAGTGAAACCCAATCCGAAGAAACAAAAGAGTCTGAATCGGTAATCGCCTCGAAATCCTGCTGTTATCTTTTGGTTAGATGTTTTTGTCCTTTGTTTTGCTGCTGTTCAAAATCTTTTAGAGTGTGGAGAGACTGCAGGTGAAAATAAAGCCAAGTTGTGAGGGATTATTGTCCACATTTTTTTTCCATTTTTTTATATCCCTCTTCAGATGCTTTTTTCCCCCCTCCAAAAGCCTTGAGAGTTAGTCACAAAAAAGGTTGAGTGACTGTTATGTTAAAGTCCTTTTCACACCTAGGCAAAGATTGAAACAGCAATGAGGTATGTGAAATGGCTTTTCAGGTGGTCCTAATTATGTTTTTTTTTTCAATATTTTTTTTCCTCTCCATATCTGTTAATAAGTAGCTGGTTTAGTTCAAAATGAGAACTTGAGGTACAAGGGCTTCTGTTTTGTTGTTTGTTTTGATTGGGTGGGGTGGGTCTTTGAACATCTAAATAATGTTAACATGCTTGAGGAACAAAAATGTTTTCTCTCATTTTCTCATTATATACATATCTATAGATAGATGAACATACAGATATATACATGTACATATATATGTATAAGAACATACATATATGCATGCATGTATTTTAAATCGTATCTTTTTAGTGTTTATATGTGTAATAATAGCATTGTTGGGTTATAATAATCACAGGTTGTATGTTATTGGAAATGGTCCAACAGATTTCTTGAAATTCCACTGGTAATTTTATTCTGAAGTGAGAAGATATTTTAAAAGTTTCAGTACAAATTTAAAATATACATTAACATTATGTCAGAAAGTAATTATTGCTCTTTGCTGCAATTTAAAGATGCAACTTAAAATCATTAGCTCAGTGTTTTTTTACTTATACAGTACAGTGATGATGATGGTGATGAAATAAATGGAATGACACAAGGTGATAAGCTACTTGCCCTGAAAAGTAGAAGACGGGCAAAATCAGTTACTTCAATTCCTCTAACGTAAGTCTTTTGTTTTGTTTGTTTTGTTTTTGTTTGTTTGGGGTTTTTGCATATGCAAAGTGTATCTGTTTCTCTTTTCAGGTTTTTTCCCCAATGCCATTTTAAAGTTTCAGGTATATCAATGCATTTCAAAACAGTTTATAAATGCTGTCTTAAAAAATGGTAGTAGAGGTTGCCAATATCTATATATGTATAAAGTATTATATCTTATTTTTTTTTCTATTTCCAGGGTGTTTCCATGGGGCTCCACTGAGCTTTGTGAAACCCTGGATAATTGGTCACTCTGTGTCCACATCTCCTTTTAACTTTGTACAGATTGTGTGTGTGTGTGTGTGTGTGTGCACGCGCGCGCGCGTGCGCGCATGCTAAAGCTGCAAAAAGACTATATTTTGAGAAGACAGAATTTAGTCAGCTGAGACAGAGTTATTAGTATTCTTGCCTAAGTATAGGGAAATAATTAATTGATTAAACTTAGTAAAATTTTGTATATGCACATAAAATTTCTCTCAGAGAAATTGTTTGCAGAATCACAGACAAGATTCTGCCATTGGTAAGGGAAGATGGCAACTTTGGTTGTTGTATTGATGTTTTGTGCAAGCCTGTAAGTTACATTGTTCAGTGCTTCTGGTATGTCAGAAAAATAGTGGCAGAGTTCTACTTTCCCAAAGCAATATAAGAACGCAGTACCAAGTATTGTGCTTGCCTGGAAAGTAGAAGATGAAAGTAAATTAGCTTGAAGTCTGGACATCTTAACCTTGTAGGCTTTCTTTGATCATATTCGGGTCCTACTACTTTTTGAGCTCTCCAAGCTAAACAGTTATTGCTTGTGGTAACTAGAGAGTGCAGAGGTGTCCAAGACCCTCAAAACATACAAACTGTATAGTTTTTATAGTTTTTCCTTTCTCATTTTTAAGATCCTCATAGTATTCTCTGTCACTTTTTTTTTTAAGACTTCACATCAGCTAGCTATAGATACAGATGAACCAAGTTTTTCTTAATATTGGTTACATGTTGGTGTTCACACTAAAAAGTATCTCTTTCTAAAGTAGAATTCTTTATTAGACATCTCTGCCTTTGCTACTATTCAAGTAATTACCAGCAATATTTCACTATCATGCCATTTCACCAATAATGCCATATGGATCTCAAGAGTAACCTTACAGTGAAGCTTCTGGATAGCCATTAATATTCATCAAGCAGTCGTTTGCTACACAACACAGTAAAACCTCAGTTAACTAGAACACTTGAGAATGGTATGTTTGGGAAGTTAAATTTTCTGATTAATTTCTAGTTAATTCTAAAAACCTTTCTTTCAACTCTTATTGAAAATATTATTTAGATGTTAAGTATTACTTTAATGCTTCAGGGATTAATTACTTTAGGGATTAATACTTTGGTGTGGGTTCTTTCTCCACTGATACCAATTGCAACCTCTCTCTAAAATGCTAGATAGTCCTTGAGAATAGCTGTGACCAAAAGTGCCATCATCTTACAACCAGTCTGATGATGAATTTCCAAACATAGCTAGTCTGGTTCTTAGATAATAGACTTCTAGTCCCTCACTAGGTCTGTACTCAAATCCTTTGTAGCATAGTAGGGCTCCTGTCCCCCAAAGTTGTGATTGGCTAGCATAGGCTTTGAGAACCCACAGTCACCTCCACACTACAGTGAGACATCTGAGGAGGATTTCAGTGGGGTATTAAATATTGCAGATGAAACATAATTGAATCCTGGATGATTTTAAGGTCTGACAGTGCCTCAAGTAAATCATTATCGGCCTCGGTTTTGATGGTACAAGTGTGGGAAGAATATGAAACTAAACAGAACCTGTACTTATCCCAGGACATACCCAATTTTTATTTTTTTAGATGAGTCTGTTAGAGTTGTTCTTGAGATTTGCCCCTTTCTTTTTAAAGTCAAACTCTGACAAGGAGGAATAAGATTTGTTAATAGAGAGTTCCAGTTAGGTACCAGTTACTCAGGATTTTCTGACTGAGACCCTGAATTCAGTTGTACTCATGTTCCCCTACAAGAGTTCAAGCTGTCTAAAAACACATAGGGTTTGAAATACTTACTTCCTTCTGTACCAGAGGCTGCAGGTGGAGACAGAAGACAGTCTTGTGATGGCAGAGTTGTGTGATGAAGTAAAAGAGGAGTCACTGAGTGAAAATAAAAATGAACTGTGTGAACATTATCAAAAGCCTTTATTAATAATAGTCTTCTGTAGGGATTATGTATGGTCTGCAGTGGTCAGGTTCTTTTTAATTGAATGTGTGTGTAGTTCCCCATGCTTGCAATGGAATAGAATATGTATTGGGATAGCAGGAAACAAAACAAGTAAAAACAGAAGAAAAATATTGAACAAAACCAATAACCTGTTACTTTCCCTTTTGCCAATCTGAGCTTTTGCCTCCATCTAAACACCACCTAACCCTTACTTTACCTAAATGCCTTTGGGCTTGTCTAACTTAAATGCTTTAGAGAAATAACAAATAACGAACAGGTTCAAACCTCTCTTTTATTGACTCCCTATCCATACTTGCAAAGCCCTGTGTTAATCAGGGGATCCCTAGTTCAGTTATAGGTACTAGGTTAAGCTATTTCTTTTTGTTTGAGAAAACTGAATTCAAATGGAGGTATACAAACTAGATTGTAAATTCCTAGAAGTTAAGAACTGTGAGACTGGTTTTTTCTTTGTTGTTGGTTTTTTTTGTGTGTGTGTTTTTTTTTTTTTTGCATCTCCTACAATAGCTTGCACAGTCTCCTGTGTGCAAGAGAGATTCCATAAATATTTGTTGAATGAATAAAGTTTTAAACCTGGTTTTCAGAAGGAAACAAAAAAGCAAAATTATAAAATACTCTTAAGCCCTTTGTTATTCTTTGTAAGTGTTCCACATCTCGGATTACTTAGAACAAATCTTGCTTTCTACCTTCTTGTACCATTATGACCTCCTGCTTATTTAACTTCTTTATTTCCATTATAACCATCTCTTTGTTTTCTTATTCTGAGAGGAGTCCCATTGGAATTAGGAGGAGGAAGGCTTGAGATGCCTTTAACAATAAATTTTAGCAAGCAGTAAAGTCCTTTTCAAACAAACAACCAGAATGGACATCGTTTTGCTGAGGCATTGTGGAGCCCTGAATTGAGAATCAGGTTAAGTTCATTAATTCTGCCATTAACTAGACATATCACTATGGGCAAGTCTCTTAGTCTCTATGTTACTTTTATTTGGCCTATGTTATTTTTATTAGAGCCATTTAAGTTCACTGTGGGTTACTGAGAGTTTCCAGACCAATAGGTTGAGAGGCCACACACCACAAAAGTACACAAAGTTTCTGTGATTTGATTTATGTTACTCTGGACCTCAGTTTCTTTTTCTATAAAATGAGGGGTTTCACTAGATGACTTCTAGGCTTCATCTCCAAGTCTATGTTGATGCTCTGTGGAAATTGCCTCTGCTAGGATGAAGTGCCACCTTTCTGATCAATCAGTCAAGCTGCTCTATGTCAGACACTGTGCTAGGTGCTAAGGATACAGAGGAAAAACAAAACATTTTCTCTCCTCAAATAGCTTATAGTCTGTTGGGAAGGACAACATATACATGTATAACTGAAAAATAAATACACAACAATTTGAGGGGAAAGGGCACTAGCAACTGGGAGAACCAAGAAAGTCATCATGCAAAAGGTTGAACTGAGCCTTGAAGGAAACTAGGGTACATGAAGGGAATTAATGTATATAATAAGGTGAGAAAGGTAGGTAGAAGTGTCCTAGAGAGTTGTTGAGGCACTTAGGGATTAAGTGACTTGCTCAGGGTCACATAGCTAGTAAATGTCAGGCAGGATTTGAACGCAGATCTTCTTTAATCCAGGTTCAGCCTTTTGTCCATTATACCTTGCTTTCGCTAGGTTGAGAATGCTCAGGCTTAAGAGAGATCTTTAGCTTGTGTTAAAAACTATTCAGTAGGAAAAAATAACATTAAAGAAACAAAATTACATTAGATGCTCATCAGGGATCATGAACTAAGGAAAACTAAAATGAAAATTTTGAAAAGGAAACTTTTCTTCATATCTTAATGTCTAAAGTGTGTATGCTTATATAAAATTACATGTTACTAATACATGCTATGTTTTTTTGCTCCTATTCTTATATACACACACAAGATATATAAATTAAAAGCGAATGAGCAGTATTTTGTCTGTGTGTGGTTTATGAATCAGTCTCACTAGTGTAGACACAACTCATAACCTGATAATGTTGTAGCACAATAATAACATTTTAAATGATCTGCCTTTTAACATCATCAGTGGCTATGTTGCTGTGATCTTCTATAGTTAAGCTTTTTTTTTTCTTTTGCTGGTGGGGAGGGGTGCTGAGGAAGGGAGTCTGACATTTCAGGCTCTAACTACCTTGAAACTAGGATCAAGGTCATTATAAAATAGAATTAGTTAACACAATTAATTTTCCCAGTTAGAAATTTGTTTTGACTGTCAAAACAAAACAAAAACATGATCAAGTTCAAGTTGAAGAACAGGTGTCATTGATTGACATTATTATTGGATTCATGCCTCATTTCTATACCATTCATCTGTCTCCTACATTAAGTGTTCTTTCTCTGAGTTTGTTTTATTTTTTTCTTCTAACCTCTTAAAATTAGTCTACTTCTCCTTTTTATGTTGTCTTCAAATCAAATGATAAAATTATTTTTTCATAAGAATTGTCAAAATTACATTCAGCTTCTTTTATTTTTTGCATTACTTTCTCCCTCTACCCCAAACTTCCATGGGGCTAAGATTCAACTTCAGCTTACTTTTTTTGTTTTTGTTTTTTGTTTTTGTTTCCCAATTTGAACGTTTGTTCTTTTCCTCCCCCATCCCTTTCTAGATGTATCCTAGCTGTGCTGACCTCTGCACTATGTAGTATTGTCATCTGGTGGATTGTTTGTGACTGCATTCTTCCCATCCTGCTATTCTGTCTAGATGGTTTAAGAACCTAGTAACCATCAGGACCCTTTGACAGATAGCCACTGTGTAAGTGTCCCATTCCATTTCTCTACTATTACTCACTTTTGGTGTCCAGTATGTTTCTCATGATGCATGTGTTTATCCATATTCCCCCTCTCCAGGCTTTATTGTAAAGGTTGATTTGATTTGCATGTTTTTTTAAAGATTCTTTTGAGTATTGGTGAAAACTGTTCATGTCAACTGTTTGAAGGGGTTAGTAACATATAGGACATTTAAAAGATCCATCTTTTGATTTTGCCTTAGAAATAAAATATAAGTTGATGAAATAAAAAATATAAAAATAAGGACAGTGATAATTTTTATCTCATCCCATACTCATCAGATGAAGTTAGTTGTGATTTTGATTTTCTTCTATTGAATTTGTGTGCGCAATTTCTCTTAGAGAATTTATTCTTTAGTTTACATCCCTTTCTGGTTCAATGAGAAGAGTTCTTCTGTTGGTGTTTTATTAAATGGTGATTGATGCCCTTCATCTTGCCTCTTAAAATCTGTTATCTAGCCATTATAACAGTTTTGTCTTTTGTCCACGTAACAACCTCAGTGTTTCCCCTCTATTAAGTTTTAGTTGTTTTCTTTCCTGAGTCTAAATGTTCTATTTCCCTCACTTTGGGGAATTGCATTAGGTACAGCTTTTCAATACTTTCTATCAAATCAAAATAAGAAGGGAAGAAGACTCACAGGGGCAAGATTCATAGTGTTGTTTATGAATGAAGATGACTGCAGCTTCCCACCACCACCACCATCCTTCTCCCGTACTTCCCCTAAAAGGTTGCTTTCATAAAAATGTTCTAAAAGATTTGTTATTGGAGTAAACATTCTCTTGGAAAATCAACTTCAAAAGGAAAGTCATGGCAATGAAGAGGCAAGACTTCTTTGTTACAGAAGAATAATTTGGAAAGAAAAAATATCTAAGAACTTATACCAGAGTCCTCAGGGTAACAATAAAGGAAAGTTATCTCTTATTTTCTTTGATATTCCTTCTCTAGGATTTCTGACTTGTCCCAACTTGGACTTAATTTATAGTCTATAATAGATTGCCAAGATCTTCTGCTCCATAGATGAAATAGAAGCCTGCTTCAACCAAGAGTAAAATCTGGTATTCATTGGGCTCTTAGTATGGCTTTAAAAGACTGGAAATTCCACTTGTAATTCAGAATTTAAGATCTTAAATTCCATTTCCCCCCACTTATTCTTGAGGGGAAAAAAACTCTCCCTTATTGTATTCTTGCTTATGACATTCTCCTGGACATGATATTACTGCAGCCTAATTAATATACAGTTATAAGGTTATACTGCCTTTTATATTTCCTCTTCAGAGGTACTTTTTTCTTTCTGTGCTTGGCAGATTGTAAGGTTCCAGAATATTTGCTAATTTTCAAGGATTGGTTTGTTGGAAAGAGGTGACAACTTAACTTTTAACATTTATCTCTACTAAGGAGAATGAGCATTTTATGGACATATGAGCCTCTCTCAGCTATCCCATAAAGTAAATGGGGGATATAAGGAACAAGCTGCAGCTTTTAAATTATTGTAGAAACTTGAATGAGGTGTAGAGTTCATCTTGAAAGATCCTTCTCTTAGTATCTTGTTGCCTCTAAAACAGTTCCTGGCTTTTGTTTTGTATTTCTAGACCAATTTCAAACTGTCTAGAGTGTTTGTATTTAGAATTCTCATCTGTATTCTGCAGACAGCTGCAATCTTATTTTTATTTAATTTTGCGGGTGACTGAGATATAAGCTATTCTTTTCATAGGAGATGAATAGAAAGTACGAGAAACAGTGTTATCATTGTTGTTTTTTCACATCCATCATTGGTCTTAATCTCCTTTCAACAGTTGTTTATTTGTGAGGCACTAAGGTCGGAGTCCCAAGTTGGGAGGACATAGTACAGATGCCACCTCTGACACATAGTGTATATGGGACTCTGGCCAAGTCAGAGTAACCTCTTGGAGACTGTTTCCTCGTCTATAAAATTAAAACAATACCTGAAATATGTACAGCATCATAAGATTTGCCGAGTACTTTCCTTATATTTGAACCTCACAAAAGCCTGCAAGGAGGCATTATAGGTATATTGTTATTTTCACTTTACAGAGGAAGAAAATGAGGATCTAAATGATTAAGTGATTTGTCCAGGCTCACACAAATAGGAAGCATCAGAGACAGGTTTGAACAAAGTCTTCTTATTCCAGATCTAGCACTTTGTCTCTTTCATGATAGTTTTGTAAACTTGAAAGTTCTATGGGAGTTACTGTTTGTAAGACTAGTACCCATTCTACCTCATACTGAATGCAAACCCTTGAGCCCTATGGGGTTTTTTTTTTCTTCTTTGTTATGAGGTATCTCTTTTCACATTTGTTTCCAACAGTTGCTTATTTCGGGGATGATAACAGGATGAGGGATCAAAATTAGATTGCATCATTCTGTTATCTGTTGACTCTACAGCTCTGAAATAAACTGTGTTGACTACCGCAGCTGTCTTCTCACCATCCTTGTGGCAGATGAGATTATTTGATTCTATCAGTAACATAGCTACTGTTTTCTGATCAGTAATTTTTTTTTAAACAACAATCTGTGATCTGGCATGTTTAAAAATTAGGATGAGCGTGGTGCTTTTATTGATAGAAGGAATTCTCATTTACCAATGCAGACTAGAACCTCCTCATGCTGTCAGGGTCACAGAGCCAGGAGGTGGGTTATCAGAGGTGACACTCGAACCCAGACCTTCCTCCTTTAAGACCAGTTCTCTGTCCACTATACCAAGTTGCAGAGATTAGGATGTCCTAGATAGCAAAATCGTATATGTGGCATGCATGGATTCCCCATTTTCAAAGAATTTGAATAAAAGAAAATGTCTCTAAAACTATACTGACTATAGCTTAATCTTTATTTGATCCAATGGGCAGGTACTTCAGGAACTTCAACTGCCTCAATGTGTTCCTGAACATCATTTGTGGTTGTTCAGAAATTTCTGTTAATTCAGTTTGGTTCAATAGAATGGCAGGTACACCAGCTCTTTCTATGTTTTCTGTGTTGTTCAGATACCGGAATACTAGGTGACCAAACAGTGGAAAGAATAGCCAGATGGATGAGGCCTTTGATTTCTCCCCTGGGAGGAGCACTTTCACATTAAATATTCCGTTTTATGGCATGAAAGGCATTGAGTACTTTGCCTTTCAGGGTGGCAAATTCTTTAAAGTTTCAGAACTGACAGAGGCTCAAAGACATGAGAACCAGTGAGAAGAGAAAGGGATTATAAATGTAAACCATGGAAAACAGAACTTTGTTGAAAGATTTGACAATAGAAGGGGGGCAAGTATACCTGAAAGGTACTGTGTTTAATGAAGCAATGTCAGTGGCTTGATTTGAGGGATGGAAGAGAGTAAGATGAAAACATTGTATTTCATCAAATGATGCTACCTTCTCAAAAGTAGTTATAGCGCACCATGACAGGTGTTAGGAGGTGTAAGACACAGGCCCTGCATGAATCTTATGGTCTAGTAAGGGAGTATTAACGTATACATAAATAAATGTAGTTCAAACTGAGGCATAAGTGTATCAGGACATAAATAATATTCTGAAGGATAGAAGTCATTACCAGTTGAGAGGATCAGAGGAGGATGCTTTGAAGTGGCATTTTACTTTGACTATAAAAGATGAATAGGCTTCCAATAGACCAGGATAGATGGGGGTAATTCAGGGTTTCAAAAAAACAAAAATGCAGGAGGTATGCAGAGACAGGAATTCAGCTCGGCGAGATCACGTGAGGGGAGCAGTTTGAGGCTGGAAAAGCAAGGTTATGCCCATCACATAATGAAGAGCGCTGAAAGTGAGACTGCAAGAGATTGGATTTTATTCAATAGGCAATAAGGAGTCATGAGAAAAGGTTCAACAGAGCTGTGATACAACAAGGATCTATGCACAAGGAAGATTAGTCTGGCAATAGTGGGAATGGATCAGAAGGGGAAGAGAATGGGACCAGACAGATGGATTAAGAGGTTTATATAAAAGTTATGGCATTGCCAGTAGAGAAGAGGAGAATGAGTATGCAAGAGATTGTAGAGATATAATTAGTAGATGTGGAAGTTAAGGAAAAGGATGAGTGATACATGACCCTAAGAAGACCTGATTTTGGTATATCCTGTTTCCTCTCACTTTCGTTGATCGACAGTAAATTACACAGGCTGTGGCTCAAGCTATGTATTTAGTTTTTGAAGACAACAGATTCTGTGAGGATGAAAAGTCGTATAATGTAATGTAGTAAATTTTCCAGTGTTTAGCACAGTGCCTGGCACATAGTGGGTGCTTACTAAATGTTTTATAGAATGATTGATTCATTCGTTGGTTGAATTCACCAAATGAATTCACTTGTGGTGGAAAATTTCTAACTTGATTAGTCAAGACTCATTTTTCCTAGAAAAGCAACATGATTCAAAACTGTTGTTCATGTACTTTCCTCATACGTGAATTACTAAACATTTTCTTACTTTACATAGGCAGGTGAATGAATGAACGAGTAACCTTTCTCAACTGAGACCAGTGATGCCCTGTTTAACTGTCTAATTATAGTTCTGTGTCCTGGGATTTTTGTTTCTGGAACATTCAGCACAGGTGACTTGACTGTGACTAATTCCAAATCAATCGAAGGGTGGTTATTGGCTAATTAGTTCACACTTCATCTCCCTCAGAACTGAGGGAGAGAGATTTTAACAAGCTTTTGAATATTTGAAGGATGATTTCATGCTTTGTCTTCTTTGAAAACAAAAGCGTTTTTCCCACCATCAAATATGTCAGTCCTGGCCTGGAAAGCTGTCAAGAAAAAGGCTTGATTTTTCTGTTATGGTCTTGGCACAGTCATGGAATGGATTAGATAATTAATCCCTGAGAAGCTCTTCCAGATTTCTAGTGATTCTATGATAAGCAAAGCATATTTGCTGTCAGCGGTACCGGTGGAAATTAGTCTTTTGGCTGATTACCTTGCTGGACTACTTTCCACTGTGGTTAAAG